ATGGCGTCTTTTTATAGATAGTTCAAAATTTAGTTTAAAAGCTGCTCTTGTTCACAACGGCAATGAACTTCCCACTATACCATTAGCGCATGCCGTTGGGGTAAAAGAAACCTATAATGAAATCGCGCAAGTTTTGAAGTTAATTCAATATAACGAATTCAATTGGAAGCTATGCGCTGATTTAAAGGTTAGTATTTTCATTTAAGTACAATCAAAGATAACAAAAATGTAGAAATCTGATTAAAAATATGTACTTATATGTACTCCTTTTGTATTTTCTTTTTTAAAGGTTATTGCAATAATCACTGGTCTGCAACGTGGTTTTACAAAATATTGTTGTTTTCTGTGTTTATGGGACAGTAGAGCAACAAAGGATCATTTTATACGTTCATCTTGGCCAAAAAGAGAAGATGTCACAATAGGAAAACAAAATATTGCGAATAAAGCTCTTGTTGAACCGTGTCAGATAATTTTGCCACCTTTGCATATAAAACTTGGCCTAATGAAAAATTTTGTTAAGGCTCTGCAAAAAAACGAAAGCCCTGCTTTCGAATATCTTACAAATCTCTTCCCCTGCATTTCTTTTGCCAAAATCAAAGAAGGTATCTTTGTTGGACCACAAATCAGAAAACTGATGAAGGACGAAAAATTTAATAATGTGTTGAATAAAAAAGAGTTGAAAGCATGGACTTCGTTTAAGCAAACAGTTATCGGCTTCTTGGGTAACGAAAGAGATTCACATTATAGAGAAATTCTTTCATCTTTAATTGAAAATTACAAAGTTATTGGCGCAACTATGTCTCTAAAAATGCATTTCTTGCACTCTCACGTGGATTTTTTTCCTTCAAATCTCGGTGCAGAAAGTGATGAACAAGGTGAAAGGTTTCATCAGGATATCTCTGCAATGGAAAAAAGATATCAAGGGTATTGGGACGCAAGCATGTTGGGAGATTATTGTTGGACAATTATAAGAGAAACAAATCCTACACACTATAAAAAGTTTGCTCAAAGTACACATATACCTCACTATAATATATAAATTCACTTTCAATAATGCAGTTCTACGTTCGACGTCAAACTTTTATATAAAATGCAATATTTAATATTTAATAATATTTAATAATATTAATTTTAATTTTTTAAATAAAATTTGTGCAATTTTACATAATACAATTTTGATTTGCACTCTAAATTTTACAAAATAAATTCGAAAAAATGAATTTTCTGACTTGTTAATAAAAACTACTATTTTGGGCAAATTTGGCAAATGGCGAATAACTTCTGAAATTTTTATTCGATTTTTATGTTAAGCCACTCAAAATGTTTGTACTAAAACAGTCTTTAACATTAATTAAAAAAAAAAATTTTTTTTAATATATTTGTGGGAGTCTCATCACCTTGAAAATCGAAAAAGTTGAAAAAAGCGTAAAAAAAACATTTTTCATCTGTACATTTCTAGCTATTGCAGCGAAACTAAGTAAGTTACATTAACGTTTTGTAACTCAAAATATTGGTACAAGTTTCACCTTTAATTTGATATATAATACACTACCGAGATAACTTCACAAAAAAAGCTATGGGGGAATATGCAGGGTGATGTTTTGAGAAAAGTCAAAATAACGGTTTTTTGCAAATATCTCGAAAACGGTACATAGGAAAAAAAAATCGTTATGATTTTCGAGTTCTACGAAAAATTTCCCTATAGGAAATATAAGTCTCGTCTTTGGAAATTTTTGGCTGTAAACTAGTGTTATAGAAGTACTCATCTAAACTGATAACTATAAACCTTATAAACATATAAATTTATATACTTGGTAAATGAAGTGCCATATTTTGTATAAAAAATAGTTCACACAAACATGATAAATTTACACTAAAATTTTACCGAATAAATTTATATCGTATAAATTTATTTGTTGTCAATAAAGAGTTGTATTCCAACACAAGCATAAGTTGGTATAAATAGTGCTATCATACAGCAGATTGATAAACTTTCATAAATATTTCACTAAGTGCGTTCATATAAGCGTATGTGTTAAGGCATAAAATTATACATTTGATAAATTTATATGCTAAGATGAGTACTTCTTATGTTTGTGAGTTAGATAATAAAGCTTATTATGTTATAATTTCTTTTAAAATTTTCTATGAAACAAATTTCGTATTAATTTAATTTAATTAAGATTTAAATTAAAATTAATTTCGTATTAAGAATATAATTGTTTCATTTTTTTTTGTGTAGAATGTAGGAATGTGGATCCAATGATTTGGGTAATAAATTTTAACAATTACTAAATGTGTCAAAAATCATATTCATTGATATTCAAATATAAATTTATTAAACAACACAAAATTAAATAAAAATTGGATAAAAAATGCAATATTTGTATATTTTTAATTCAATATTTATTTTTATTTTTATTTTTGATTGGTAACATTAAGCATAGACACCAATTATACGAACGTGTAGTGAAGTGTTTTTTTGGCATATTTCCTTAAATTTTTGTATGCAATTTTTATCCTATAATATGCAATATCTATCGTATTGTATTTGTAGTTATTATTTTTATAATTTTTTTATAATATTTCGCTGAACAAGAATATTGATATCGTGCATATTGATCTTGTTCACCGATAAGACAATAGCATGAACCACTTCCATGGAAACTTGTACGAGCATAAGTTTAGGATCAGCGCTGAATGTGGACTGAATGGATCGATCAGCTGCATTTGTCTGCTGGTCGACTCGTACGAGTATGCAAAATAAGATTTTTTTTTGTTTTTGGCACTTGGCTTGAACTCGGGGTTGCCCAACTGTTGTTGTTGACTTGCTTTCTGTTTGGCTTACTCGTACCTTTACTTCTCTCGTTTTAATACATATTTTATTTATTTTTTTTTTCATTTTTTTGCTTATGCTTTACAAAGTTGTAGTATTTTTTTGTAATATTTATTGGAGTTAGTTTGACTGCACTTTTGTATTTAATATTTTTTGACAAAGTGGCTGAACGCATATTGGCATATTGTGTTGGAATCTATTCGTAGATTTGACCACTTCCATAAATTTTTTTAATGGCAAAAATTCATATATATGAAAATATGTTTAGAAATAAATTTTTAGTTTTACTGCTTCTGCACAAGGTCTTTCCAATTCTACGAAGAAATACATTCGTGTGATTCTTATCGATTTCAAATTCTTTTCGTGTTAGCAATATTTCTAACTTCAAGCTTTTTTATTTTAATTTTTAGTTCCTTAATGTTCATATAGGCATAACAAAATGAGATTATTTTAATTCTGAATATTATTTATTGTTAATTGTTTTAAATAATGTATACCTATATATACAGATAATATTTATTAGTTCAATTATAAATCATTTGTGCATTTTTATTAAGTCGTAGGGGCAAAAAGCTTTCCAATATTAGTTTTATTCCAATTTGCAAGTATATCGCAAATGAAGGTGTGGATAAAAAAAAATAATCACATTAATAAAGTGAAAATAGAAAATATTGAAAAAAACGAGTGCTTTTTTAAAACCGAAAAAAACAGAAGATTACCTTTACTAAAATTAATTACTAAAATAATTAAATAGGATATTGAAAATATTCTTATTACGAAGTCAAATATTTTCATACTATATATATAATAATTAATAAAGAGGTTTTTTCGAACAGTAGTGAAATACAACAACAAAAATTTATTTTTTATATTATTTTAATTAATTGAATTTTTGGCTGACCATACAGTTGTTTCGAGTATTGCCAAATACCCATCATCAGTGGTCTTGGAAATAATTCTTGTATTTAATTATTCGTAAATAATTATTTTTTGAGACTGCAAGTACCAGGAATCGAACTCGGGTCCTGCCAAATGTGAAGCTCAGAATTAGCGCATCTTAACCAACTGATTCAAAGCCGTACTTGACTTTTTATGTTCGCATATTTTTCTGGAGTTTTGTTACTATTACTATGAAAGTTTTTATTAATAATTTTACTTGCTATGTTTATATTAGAACGAAATCATAAACCAGCTGTAGAATAACTGAATTAATTAATTAATTATATTTTTATGTTTAATTGTTAAATTTCAATACTATTCTGTTCGTAGAGGCATTATTTGTTGCATGATTTGTTCTTTCTTATGTATAGAATCTAATCTAGGAACGTAATGCTGAGAAGGTCATACTAATGTTACTCCACTAGGCGCACGGGCGAGACCAATATTTTGTGAATATAAGTTGTAATTTAACGTCAAATATTCCAGACGAAAGTGACTATTATTTTTAATAGCAAATAATAATTAATTAAATACTGAAGTTGTATTTGGTAACTTAAATTGTGCTAAAGTCGCTAAAATTCCAAAGCAAAGATCAAAGAATAATTATGGCAGAGTCTTTTTAAATGTAGTATGCACTCAATAAACAGACCTTTAGGTATATTCCTCAAAACGGTTTA